TTGAAATTATAAGGAATTCTGCCAGTAACAGCAGTTTATCCTTGGTTGCAGAAGGTCATTACTTGTTAAGAACCATAAATTAAAATGAGGTTTTGCAGTTAAATTTCCTTTAATCACTAGTTATTAGTTTGTATTAAAACTGAACTCTTTGCTACACTCTCTTGACCAACTGCCCAGGCACTCCCAGGAGGTGTGAATTTTAGGTATTTTTCTCATTAATTGAGCAGACCGTCACATGGTAAGTAATCCTAGTCTTTGGAATTCGGAAATTATAACAGATACGTGTAAATTCCATGTAAGTTTTATCTTTTGCGCTTCCACAAATGATGATAGGTGCCTCATGGTAAAACAGAAAAAATACAGTTGTGTGATAACAATATAGTGGTAGCACAATTGGTTCTGCTCGTTTTAATATTACTTTTATTATTAATGCCTTCTCATTACTTTTCATTTAACACATCATAAGAATAAAGGAAAAGAAATTAGTGTGAGATATGGTTGAGATGTTTTTCACATACTCATACAAAGGTGATATCAGAGAGAGACCACTTGTTCAAAAGATGTTAGCATTGACTTTAGGGAGAGAAAGTGAAATAATTATTGGCAGCTGAGAAAAAAGAAAGCTAAGAATTGTTTAATGTTCATAGGCCATCCCAAATAGCAATGAAAAATCAGGATGTAAAAACTAGTTTTGCATAGTAAATGTGCTTTATGGTACAAAAGCATTGCTTTGAAATGAAGGTACAAGGTACATCAACTCTAAGAGCCCTATTCATCACATGCAAGGCTTCCACAGTCGGGTGGCATTTATTCTATGGTTTTGTATTCCAAGTCAGGCCACAGGATACATATTATTTTACAAGAAAATATTGGAAATGGTTGGAGGTACTTGCAAACATATACTAGAGATGGAATAATGATGCATAGCACATTTACTACAGACACAGAATTCAGAAAAGTAGAAGGAGGATCCTTGTTCATCTTAAAGAATCAGCCCACCAGTCCTTATGTAAGGTTGATGCACTGGTTTGACACATTCACATTATGTAGGAGAAAGGAGATGTGCACCAAACAATTAATTTAAAACCTTGAGGAGCATAAGCATCCCATTAACGGCCTAGAAACAAGAAAGCCTTCTCTCACCATGGTAACCAGGAAGAGCTGTCAGAGTTTTCACAGTTCAGGCTTCTGTTGTTGCTCAAGGGAATCCTTTGGATGCCTTAATTTCCTCTGTTTCTAGACATGTTTTCCAAAGGTTAAGGCACTTTTTTGAGGGTCATGTTTAAGGCTCTTTTTTAGTATTGAGGATAAAATCAAATAAAGCAGACTGAATTGAAAACTCTGTGCAACACATTAGAACTTACTAAACAGGGTTGGCTTCTGCAAAACTCTGGCAAAAGGTGTGAAAAAATGGCATGGTGCCCTGGAAGGCAAGAATAGGTCAGAGTACGTGGGTGCAGAGGGACTTTAGGAGACCCAGGGCTGAACTTGCTATACAGGCATTATTTTCACTGTCTGGGTGAAAAGCTGTCTAAGAATTGCAAGTGCTTTATGATTCTAATGGGGAAGCCATTTCAAAAAGAATGCACAAATGTTAAATTGCAGCCAGAATGGATAACGGATAATCATAGACTGTCCATTAAAGAAAGGTTAGGTCATGGATATGCATGGCATATATCTTGACGGGAGTGAAATGGCAAGGAGATGACTGCTCACATGATCCACTTATAAATGAACTTTCTCCCTCAAAATGAGCTGTTGTCCTTCACACTCCTGCTTTTCTTGCTGTCTATACTTAATCCAGGCTCACCAACTCCTTGTGTTTTTTTTCTCAGTTACTAATCCTTAAACCTCACATGCTATGTTCCATGTTTTCTGCTTGGGCAATTGATATTTTCAAATGCCTATCACAGTGACAATTGGAACCAGTGGTCTTAGATCTAAAGGGCCCACAGTAACATGCCCTTGATTCAAATAATGAGAGACAGTTCCTGGTCCCCCAAGGAGGAAATGTCTTCCTGGGCCCAGTTATCTCAGATTCCTCTCTTTACTATTTTTAAGATAACTGTAAGATTCAAGATTTGGACATATGGTATTACAGACATACTATGTCTTGATTCCAATAGGACACTCAAAAAAAAGGACTGAAATGTCTTTGGGGGTGGACTGATAAATACAGACTAGAAAACAATATAATTATATATATACATAGCTGGGTATACAACCTACAATAAAAATCTTGGTCAAAGGGTTGATGGAGAAATTATTTAAAAGAGAGAAAATGTTTCTAAAACATTTCATAGTTCCCCCCTCGGCTTTTTCTATTTAACATAGAGATATAAAGGGTTATTTTTTTTCTGGAATTTGAATGTAACATAGATTTTGGAGGAGTAGTTAACTGATCAGTTGATGTAATTATCATCCAATATTATTTTACTCTAGAATAACAGCTTGAAATGTGTAACATTAAGCCACTGAAATAGAAGGAGAGACAAATTTGATATTAGTCCACACGGAAAGGGCCAATATAAGTCAACAGAGGAATGATATCCAAACAGCAAATGTGAAATAAGGCTAATTAGATTAATGGAAACAAAGCTCTGAAACCAAGAAAGATGATTCACTCGCTCAAATTCAAAGAGTATTTTAGGCACCCATGCACTTTGGAAAGGTTTTGGGTTTAAAGTGTGAACAAGGCCTAGACATCAGAGAACTTTCACTATGACAAGTGTGGTGGGGGAGACAGACTTATAAATACAACTGTCAGAGAGTGTGCTACTCAGAGCTGACATCAAAATGCTGCCCAGCACCATGCAGGTTTGTGTTAGCTCTGCCTAGTGACAGATAGCCATGCCATACCAATTAATGAAACAATAATAAAATAAAATAAGACAAATAATAAAAACAAATAACCCAATTTAAAAATGGGCAAAGGATCTGAACAGACATTTTTCCAAAGAAGACATATAGATGGCCAACAGACACACGAAAAGATATTCAACATCACTAATTATTAGAGAAATGCAAATCAAAATTACAATGAGATATCACTCCATGCCTGGCAGAATGGCTATTATTAACAAGACAAGAAAAATAAGTGTCAGAGAGGATGTAGAGAAAAGGGTACCCTCATACACTGCTGGCAGGAATGCAAACAGGTGCAACTGCTATACAAAACAGTATGGAGAGTCCTTAGAAAATTGAAAACAGAACTACCATATGATCCAGCTATTCCACTTCTGGGTATTTATCCAAGGAACACAAAAACATGAACATGAAAAGATATTTGCACCTCTATGTTCATTGTAGCATTATTCACAATAGCCACGACTTGGAAACAACCTAAGTGCTCATCAATGAACGATTGGATAAAGAAGACATGGTATATATACAGGATGGAATACTACTCAGCTATAAAAAAGATGAGATCTTTTGTGCCATTTGTGACAACATGGATGGAACTTGAGAGTATTATGCTAAGCAAAATAAGCCAGATGGAGAAAGCCAAATACCATATGATTTCACTCATATGTGGATGATAAAAAAAAAAACACATAGATACATAGATGATAAAAAAAAACCCACATAGATACAGATAACAGATTGGTAGTTACCAGAGGGGAAGTGGATGGCAAAGGGCAAAAAAGGTAAAGGGGTACATGTGTACGGTGACAGATGGAAACTAGACTTTTGGTAGTGAACATGATACGGTCAATTCAGAAGTTACACCTGAAATTTATATAATGTTATAAACAAATGTTACCTCAATAAAAATAAATAAATATATATATACACTTTTTTTTAATATCACCTGAGCCTGGTGATAAGTTTCTATAATACTGTTGTGCCTAAAGATAGGCAGAATTTCTAACAAGGCAGGAGTCAGGAAACAACAGTGAAGACTGAGGGAGCATCGAGAACACAAGCCTAGAGACGTGAAAATGATGGACTAACAGTAGGTGGCTGTGACTAGGGAAGGAAGGCCCATGGAAGGGCTCTGACGGAAGGCAAACCCAGGGATGGATTCGAGAATCACTCACGTGGGTACAATGTTACCATGACAAGGATGAGTACAATCTCCAAGGAAGAGAATGCAAAAGGGAAAGAGCAAAAGGCCCTCTCAGATAAAAAGATTTATAAGAAAAATAGTAAAAAATTAAAAATCACTGAAGATCAATAATGTCAAACAAATGGCTTTCAAAGAAAAGGAGAGGAAAAAGCCCAGACAACAGAGTCCCTACCCTCGTCCTATGCATCTGTGTGATGAGATGCACTGATGAAGGACACCATAACATCAACTAGAACAGAACATAAAGTCATGAGGCCTTAATTTTATTTGTGCTACTGGAGTCAACAACTTCTGCTCACATGACCCTAAATAATCCACTGAAAAATTTAAACCAGTTGCTGTTGACATGTCTCCAAATGTTAAATAGTTGAATTCATTCCTTCCAAGGGCTCTTTGGGGCCTAATTAGTAAGGACAAACTGAATGTGTGGGTTTTCTTACTCTGGTTTCACCAATTTTCTTTTCCCAACATCTTCCTTGGTAACTATGGCAATGTTTGAGGGGGAAAAAAAGAAAAATCTTTTATAGGATTTAGCTCAGAGGCGCCCAGAATTATAAATGATGATTTTCATGGGCATTCACAACAGTGTGAATGGAGCTCCATGCTTGGAAAATGAAAAGGTTCATTTCTGATACCTCTCCAGTGCTCTCCTGCTGCACCCACTGACGTCCTCGAGTTGGCTCCCGCAGCAGCACTCTGTCACCTAATTTAACGTCACACCTGGGAGGAACTTTGTCTACCTTCCCCATGCAGAACACCAGCAATAAGAGGAAGTGCAGCTCTGGTAGGAGGTCACAGCCAGGCAATTTCATCGTTATTATTGAAGACAGCGGTCAGTGAACATCACCCTCGACAGAGATCATTCTCAACAACCAGAATTTCATTTTATGGCTCCTCTTTACAAAGAGCATATACTTATGAAACCGCCCTTATGAAATTCAGCACGATCTTGATTGAACACTTCTGTATTGTTGTGGAATGCAGTACAGTGGCTGAAGCTGAAAATATCCTTAAATCAAAATTAGTGATGCCAGTTGCAATTTTTAAGTTGAAAAGGAAGACATGCTTCCCAAGAATAGTCCTTTATGCCAAACCAACTGCTGGAGCAGAGATTACCACCTTTACTGCAGTCACCGTATGCTCAGAGAATCTGCTGCAAGCACAAGTAACAGCTGTCACCCCTTTCGCTGGCTGCTGAGAGCCAGAACCAGGTGGAGCCAGGCACGCCTGGGTGGACTCACTCATGTCTTATTAAGGTTCATGTAATGTGAAGATGCATGCTGCATAGGTGCTGGGCTTTTGCTGGTGGCACATACTATGAGGCCTGGTCACATCTGTGTGGCAGCCCACGGGTTGAAAATGCAGGCTGTGCTATTTGCAGAGAGTTTATTCTAAATGATTTTACCTTCCCCAAAGGTATTGCTCTGGCATTATCTAACATCGAATGCCCTTCAATCCACGGGCACAGAACACTGAGGCCACAGAGACACGCAAAAACTTTCATCAAAAACAATCCACAATTGTCACTTTATTAAAGGGGTCACCTGTCTATAGCTCTTGACAGTTATTTATTAAATTTGTGGTAGTTAAACCTTAAGCTCTATATCTTCTTTCCTGTTGTTCTTCCACACACCTCTCAACTAGACATTTTTACAGCCTATATCATTGCCAGCGATCCAAGAAGTGCAAAATTGTAAAACAGTAGACAGAGAAGGTGATGCAACACACTCACTTCATTTAAAGGTGAAAATTGAGTGAATATTTCACCATTTTTGTTTATAACTTTATTCAGCCCATCGATTTTTTTTTTTAATCTCATAGTCTTTTTCTGGCTCCCTGTTTCCACGGAATATTCAAGGTTTCTGCTAGATTTCAAAAGATAAGTCAGCTTCATTCTCATGGATATTCTTACTAGGATGTTCTTTCTATATCTACTCTGTAATCTAAGAAAAGGCATAAATGAAATATTAACTCCTTTTCCTCATACATCAAGTCACTTTAAATTGGAGAAATAAGACAACAGGGAATATCACAGTGTGAAATTTGTATATGTATATATATTTTTTCTACTCTACAGTATCTGCCAGGAGGAACTATAAAGAACAGGATTCGTGGACAAATTTTAGAAGCATTGAGTACTACAGATCACTATTTTAAATTAAGGATTTTTAAATCTAATTTACATATAAGTTTAGAGCTAAGCAATGAATACTAAAGGCACCACTTGGCTGGAAATGGACTTCTTAGATAAAAATACTCTAGGAATTGCTCTGTGAGCTTGGTCCAGGGTCTGAAGGAAACACCTAAGCAGTTAGAAGCCAGGGTAGATTCAGCCGTGACCTGGATCTAATCTCAGAGCATGATATCAAGCTAACAGAGGCGAGTCATTTAACTATGGTGATTGAAAATTGTATCAGGGAGACACAATCATCATGGAGCTCCGGCCTCAGCTCGCACCTGACTAGGCTGAGTTCCAAGACGGATTGTAAACACTCGTCTTGATTCAGCTGAACAGCAATGGCAATGGACAATTGTTTGCCTGGGAATTGTGTGGAAAGCATCTGCGACTTTAAATTCATGGTGCTCTGTAAGGATTCTGCCGTCATGCAAATGCTGTACTTGTAGCACTCTGTACTGCCCAGAGAGAGGCTCTCTAGCAGTGCACGGAGTAGAGGAGCACTGTGCTGAAGGCGCTCTTCCCATTACATAAAATTCCCGTTGGTGGAACAGCTCCATGAGGATGACTGCTGACTTCAGCGCCAGCCTTGATCTAGTTTGCTCTCTGTCCTCATAAACATTGCCAGATATGTAGAGACAGATGCTGTCCTTAGCCCCGGTTCCAATGAGGTCGTTATTTTCATCCTATTTTCTTTTCAGAACAATGAAAACAGCGAAACAATAGAGACAACAAGGCCTCAATTTCTGGGCATTTTTTAAGAGTAGTTAATAGAATAACGATGCTTGAGTGCATTCCAACTTGGGGATACAAAACCAACTATCTGTCAAAGTTGCATCAATGAAGGCACACACTGCTTCAGACAGACATCCAGTAGATGGGTAATTGCAGACACAAAGAAGCGCAAACAAACGCTTCCTATGCCAGGCCCTATGCCAAGGAATTTACTGGAGGAATTTTATTTACTTAATTCTTAAAACACCTTGAGATAAGCAAAGCTGTAAAAGAGCAACTAACTTTTCCCAAGTCACAAACATAATAAAAGGCAGACTTAAAAATTCTAACTCAAATTTGTCTCACTTAAAACTGTATCATCTTTTCACTATACACTACTTTGAAATAAGTATTCTTTTAATTCTGAAAACTAGCTACTAAACTCATGAGAGATTTCACACTTTCTTACAGACCATATCATATATTTGTAAAAGTGTATAGAAAAAGTTTAACAGAAGTAATAGAAGATAATTATGAGAAAATATTTTAGGAAAAAAATGGACTAGGATATCAAATGATGTTGAAATAATTGCCATCAACACTTTAAAAACTGCACAATTCTCCATCTGTTTTGAATGATATTGAAGCAGCACTGATTTCATGAAGCAGACAAGGGAGAGTGTTATTTATTCAAGAGACATTTGGTTTGGATATATAACCATGAACAAAACAGCTAAAACATTGAGTTCCAGCTTCATGAATAAAGTGGTCAAAATGCTGGTCCTCCTCAAATGCATTCCTCACTTTAGGAGAAACGGGGCTTTAAGAAATAATCAATGAAAACTTTTTCATCTCAGCTTACTGAAGTTTCCTCTTGTTGTATAGTGTGCCCTGCCTGGTATCTTGTCTATAGAACTGTGTCTTCCAAGCTTCCTTGAGATATAGACAGGTGAAAGTGTAGAATCATGAACAAGGTAGGCCTCTCAAGTTTCAAAAAAAATAAAAGAGGAAGAACTTCCATGCACTAGTCATTGAAACTAAGTCCTAGGGAAACAATAATAAATAAAATGCAGACCCTGGTGTCGGTCAGTTATACGAACAAGAGGACCAGAGGCTAGATTATTACATCAGAATGCCAAATAGTTTGTCCTTACTATAAAAGTCTCAAAATAAAACAAATTCATATGATAATAGAAAAACTAGCAAAAACTTGGTAATTTTTCACTCCAATGAATATATTTAAACATATTGTCTCTCCTCTGTTGGAATGAAGTATCCATAAGCATTTGCATGTCTCTCTACAGCAGCAATTGTAGAGAATGATAGATGGACTCACAGAATGATGCCATTCTAGAATACTAACACAAGTGCTGATCTGGGGCTGGCCCAGTGGTGTAGCAGTTAGGGCGCACTTTCCACTTCAGTGGCCTGGGGTTTGCCGGTTCGGATCCCGGGTTCGCACATGGCACCATTTGGCAAGTCATGCTTTGGTAGGGTTCCTACATAAAAAGTAGAGGAAGATGGGCACGGATGTTAGCTCAGGGCCAGTCTTCCTCAGCAAAAAGAGGAGGATTGGCAGCAGATGTTAGCTCAGGGCTAATCTTCCTAAAAAAAAAAAAAAAAAAAAGAGTGCTGATCTGAAGGTTGCTAGGCCTACCGACCCGACCCGGCACTCTCTACCACGGGTTCACTGTCGAACTGTGCAAGTCACTTCGCTTCTCAGATCTCAGTCTTCTCAAATGAAGACGATGGTTTCCTTCAAACTCTAAAATTCTAAGTCAATGATTAATTATAAATTATAAATATTTACTGGCTTTATGCACCTATTAAGAAACCATCCAAAGAGAAAATTTCAGATATAGTTGTGTCCTCTTAAAATATATAAGTTCCAAATTTAGATATTCACTCACTCTACTGTGATGACTCAACTACATTAAGAAAGGAAGATAAGGCAAATCTGCCCTCTAGGTCCAGAAGGAGGAAAATCACCCATCCTTTCTTATGCTAAAAATGTTGGTGCTTTTGCTACAATTAAATCCACAGGAGAACTAACCTGTCCAGATAACAACAAATTCTTCTATGAATTGTTGTATATTCTGAGGGCCCACCTAAGGCCTATTCCCCATATTAAAGAAAATGCTGAACAAACTAGACAAGCAGAAGTTTTTATTTTTTCACTTATGTATTCTTTATTCATTTTTCCCATTACCTATAAAAACTACTTTGTTACAATTTAGAAGAAAAATTTTCAAATAAAACAACATAGGCAACATAGGCTCTCAAGGTTAACATTCTATACTTTTCAAAGCTCCAGCTCAGTTAAAGCTTAAAACAACGCTGTGAAGACAGTAAAACTGGTTATCATTCCACTATTTTGCAGATGGGGAAACTGAAGCCTAAAAATTTTAGTCGCTTGCCCAAGGTCAGAGGGCCCGTAAGCACAACCAATGTCAGTTCAAGGGAAGAGAATTTCTCCCTCCCACTACTCAGTGACGATCAGTTTTCACTCTGCTATAATTCAAATCAGTAGTGAGGATTTCATGTTCGATGGATTAATGGTGATAAATTTTTAGTATCATACTAACTGCTCAATTCCCTAAGCATTAGTTGGTGTATTATCAGGAACTATATACTAACTTTAATCTTAACATAAAATATTCCAAAAATTCCTAAGAGATGTGTGATGAAACCAAATATTTGGGATTAAACTTATAACTTCTCTCAGTTACTTAATATTTAAGCTTTAAATCAGTTGTAGAAAGAGATAAGTTTTGGGTTGAACAGTAAAAAACTCTTTGTTTCTTAGATTTCATTAATTTGGGTGTATTTTTTTTCATTACTGAATTTAATATATATGACAGAAATTACCAGAGCTCAGAATAATAAATGGAATATCTTGAGGAATATTTGTTGATAAATATAATTTATTAAATGATCCATTTTACTATAAAAATTACTATATTCCAGGAAGACAATTGAAATAAATGAATCAGATACATCACTGTCCATCTCAGCAGTCACATACAAAAAGTTATCAGGCACAGCCATTTTTCTACCACTTCTGGTTTTGTGTTGTTTTTGCTTTCAATAACTGACTTCTTGCTAACAAAATGTTATAGATTAAATTTTAAATTAAATTTTAGATTAAATGTTCTCATTACATTTGTAGACAAACTGTCAAGAAATAAATAAATCTCTGCAACTTCACTGGGATCTCAGAAAACAGATTCCTCCACAGTTCTAGGCCGTACAACTCTGTGCTAAATTTGGGAATT